CACATATTACTGACAGTAGATGTCAGACATCTAATGTATGGTTTCAGGATTTTTTTTTTTTTGGTGGTACTGGAATTTGAACTCAGAACCTCGTGCATGCTAGGTAGGCACTCTACCACTTGAGCCACTCCACCAGCCCTTTTTGTGTTGAGTATTTTTGAGATAGGGTCTCACAAACTATTTGCCTGGCCTGACTTCAAACCACCATCCTACTGACCTCTGCCTCCTGAGTAGCTAGAATTACAGATATGAGCCACCAATGCCCGCTAGGAAAGTCTTCCTGCTTATCACATGAGTGTCTGAGAAATCTAAACTTTTTAAAGTCATCACGGCTAAGCCAGAGCAGCATAGTTTCTTTTACCTGTGAAGAAGCCGCCACGTGAGAAAGATACACTTAATGTGCACTGTAGGACGCTCCTCTCCCAAAAAGCCAGAGACATAAAACCAGGCATAAGATGAAATTAAAATAACTTCTTTGACTAGCAAAAACCCCAAATCCTTTACACCCAAAGATATAATCCAAGAGCAACAATAAGATAAATATCCTTTTGACTTAGGTGCAGTTCATATGGTTTAAGTGACCATTTATAATGGCCAATGCAGAGGCCGTTCCCACCATCACGGTTGTGACCACTACCACCTTCACCTTGTTCCAGAACATTCTCATCAGCTCAAAATAAGACCTTCAGCCCACTAAGTAATTATCCTCCATTACTCGCCTCTTTGGCCCACTGCCTCCCACCCAACCCTAGCAACTATGGTCCTGATGCTCCAAAAACTTCACATCCATGAAATCACACAACACAGAGGCAGAACTTTGTGTCTGACTCCTTCCACATCGCATGAAGATTTCAGAGGTTCATGAACACTGTATATCATTACTTCATCCCCCTTTCTACTGAGTAATTGTGTGTACATACCCTGAAAAGACATGTGAGTTGTTTCCATCATTTGGCTGGTATGAGTACAGTGGCTATGAACACTTATCTCCATTTTCAGTACTTATTTCTTTGTTTTTACCATTTTAATCCTGCTTCAGTGCATTCAGTACATCCACAGTGTTGTACAACCATCACCAGGCTCCACCTCCAGAACTTTTTCATCATCCCAAATACAAACTCTCTGCTCTTTTAGTAACAACTCCATTCCCCTTCCCCACCCACCCACCACCCTTGACTACCACCATTCCACTTTCTGTGTCCACAAATTTGAGTACCCTAGGTCCCACAGATAACTGCAATCATACGATAGTTGTCCTTTTGTGTCTGGCTTATTTCATTTAGCATATTTCTTTTCAAGAGAAACATCAAATATTCTTATATGATAAAAATTACACATTTTGTATGTGTTTAACACTGTAATCAAATGGCAAAGACCTCAATGACATGCCTAAAGCAAGCACCATGGGTTGGCTTCACTTCATTCCATCCTCGCTGCGCTGGGGGAAATGGCTTCATAGAAGACCCACTGGCTGTCCATGAACACACAGCTTGTAAATCAACAAGCAAACATAGACACTCAAGTCTTCCAATTTCTGGTCCTTTCTGATTTACAGGACCAGCTAGCTGCCTCTCATCACACCACCACCCATTTACAAGGATGGTCAAGTGAATGACAGACCTGTGTTGGAAAGAGATTCAGCAAAGGCTCCAAGGAGAAGAATGAACTTGACCTAACACTTGATAAACTAGGGCTGGAGGTATGGTTTAAATGGTAGAAAGCCTCCTAGCAAGCACAAAGACCTGAGTTCAAACCCCAGTACTGCCAAAAAAAGAAAAGTTGATAAATTAGGTTTTGCTAGAATGAGGAAACAGAAGGGCATTCCAGACAGGTGACTACACACGACATGGTCCAAAGACAAGCATGGTGGGGACTGGGTAGGGAAGAAAGCAGTAGATATGGATAGGAACCCCAAGAATCATCACCTGGTTTGGAAAGCACCTAGAGGATCTTTTCTCTCATTCTCACCTATGATGGATTACCCTGAACAGGGACCTTTGCTCTCATGCTCACTCACCACACTATTCACAGAAACAGAATCTCAGCTAGATGCTGTATGTGCCCCAGAGTTTCATAGTTGGCACTTACTGTATTTGTCTTTTTCCTATGGCATCCTGGAGTGGGGTCAGATGTGGAAGGGATGAGGTATCACTTAACCAAATTACAGCCGAAAGCCCTAATGAAATCCAAACACTAATGTGAATTTCACTTACTTTTTCAATAACTCAAGTTATAGACCAAGTGTGCTCTAAAGACCAGAAAATGATAAAAGCCAAAAGACACTGTCCTTGCTTCAGCAACACATATACTAAAATTGGAACAAAAAGAGGAGTTAAAAAAAAAAAAAAAAAGAAATTTTTTAGAAAGACTTATAAATGCTACCCTAACCAAAATTTTCTAGAATGTTTCTTTTAATTTTCAAGATACATATTTATCTTCATTTTATAAAGCTTTCTGTCTTTAAGAAAACTTATAATTTAGGCCATTGTTTTTGTCAAATTCCTAAACACAGAAAGGCATTTACCTTAATAGTCACTCCTATGAAAAGAGTTAAAAACTACCCACATTGCTTAATTATAGAAACAAAAAGAAAAAATGAAAGGAGTGAAGAATAAGCATTTGAAATTGTGGGTACCAACCACTCCTGATCAGAAGAATTATAATTTGGTCCTAGTAAAAGATTTGGTTCATTCAGTGCCAGGTGTGGTGGTACACACCTGCAATCCAGCACTTGGGAGGTGAAGGCTGAAAGATTTCAAGTTTGACGCCAGCAAACTTGAAATCCCAGGACAGCCTGGGATTCATAACAAGACATTTTCTTAAAAAAAAAAAAAAAACCAAGACCTCAAGAGGTAGCTCAGTGGTAGAGCACTTGCCTAACACATGCAAAGTCCTGGGTTCAATTCCCTACACCACATTAAAAAGAAAAATTAAGTGAGCAAGCCCTCTTTGGACAACTCTGCTTATTAGCTGAAATATCAAAATAGTCCCAATATATGAATCAGTGAAAAAAAGAAGTTTACAATATCAGCCTCAGCACTAGGAATCCAGCAAGCTGGTTGTGTTTGAAGACCAAACACAACCAATGCTGATCTTTCCCTTAAAAGAATTTTTCCTTGTCAGACATAGAACACAGCTTATGAAGACAAATGTATTAGCCTTATCATGGAAAACTTCAGGAAAATACTTTAGTATTTGCCATGATACATTTTTTTAAGTAAAGACACTTACAAGGAAAGTTGAGCCTGTTGGTAGCATGGCACGACAGAACAGGAACACAGAAAGCTCCTATCTAAACCCTAAGGTACTTATGATAAACACCTGTATAAGGAATCAAACAAACTCCCCCCATTTCACACAACAGAAGTTGTAGATACCCAGCTGAGACCATTATCCACGGGTGGAAGTCGGGTTCTTGGGCCAACCAGATCTGTAACATGATCAGAGTCGGAAAAAACGCCTAGAGAAACAAAGTTTGACTACCTAAACTTTTTTATTTTGAAAATGTCCAATTTTGCCAGGTGCTGGTCTATAATGCCTATAATCTTAGCTACTCAGGAGACAGAGTTCAGGAGGATCACAGCTCAAGACCAGTCCAGGAAAATAGTTTGTGAGACCCTGTCTCAAAAATACCCAACACAAAAAGGAGTTGGCAGGGTGGCTCAAGTGGTAGAGAGCCTACTTAGTCAGTGTGAAGCCCTGAATTCAAACCCCAGTACTGTCAAAAAAAAAAAAAAAAGCCCAATTTTGCTTGTTTCCCTTGCCAAAGATAATTGCATTCAATTTCTCCATGGTCAGGAGATTGCAAAGGGAAATATCAGACAAATAATGACACTGGTCCCTCATTTGAGTTTCTAACACCCGTAACTCGGATCCAAGAAGGAAATGCAGGAAGTTTTCAAGTAAAGATTAAGAAGAACTGGTAGGAGTTGCCTGGGTTCGATCCCAGCACCTAGAAAGAAAAAGGCCAAAAACAAAGAACTGCCATCCCGTCACTGCAGGTGAGTCGCAGCAAACAGAGCAAAGGAGTACTTTGGTATTGCAGCGCCACCCACTGGCTACGAGTCCACATAGCGAATGAGACATGGCCATGAAAAGGATAAATTACTAAACTAGAAAGGAAAACAACGTGCCATTCATGAAGTGTCAGGAACTTCTTACAAAAGACTACAATGCAACTCCCTGTATAGCTATCCTTATCTCAAATGGCAAAAGCCCTTGGTCCTTCCTATTATTGCTTATACTCTGTCTTCAACAAAATCAGAGATAAGGGCAAAATAGTTTCTGCCTGGTAGTGAGGGGGTAGGAGGGGTAAGGGAGGGGGCGGGGAGGAAAGGGAGGGGATGGGGGGAGAGGGGAGGGGGGAGAAATAACCCAAACATTGTATGCACATATGAATAAAAGAAAAAAAAACTCAAAAAAAAAAAGACTACAATGTCACCTCCACCAGGAAAGAGAACACCTGTCTGATGTGCTCACATGGGTGAACTTTATTAATTTTGAAATGCAAATCTACAATCTCCAAATGCTATAAGGACTAAAACCTTTTATCTTTTTCAGTACTGGATTTGAACCCAGGGCCTTCCAGCCTCTTCTGATTTAGTTATTTTTCAAAAAAAAAATGATCTTGAATATAATTAATTGTTAATGAAGCCTTTAAGGGGGGTTAATCCCACTTCCATCTTTAATCAGAAAAGTACTGAAATACACAAAGCAAAGAAAACACCCTTAAAAAATGTATCTATAGCCAGGCACCAGTGGCTCACGCCTGCAATCCTAGCTACTCAGGAGGCAGAGATCAGGACGATCATGGTTTGAAGCCAGCTGGGCAAATGGTTTGTGAGACCCTATCTCAAAAATGCCCAACACACACCATGGCTGCTAGAGTGGCTCAAGTGATAGAGTGCCTGCCTGGCAAGCATGAGGCCCTGAGTTCAAATACCAGTACAAGCACGAAAAAAAAGATAAATCTTTGCTTTTGCATACTTAGGCAAACACTCTACCACTGAGCTAACCCACAGCCCCGAAAAGCAGTTTTTTAAAAAAACAAAAAAAAGTCCAAAGACCATTCCAATAAAGTAATAAAATGTTTTCTGTAGCTCCACAGCAGCTTTGTCATCCAAAATGTATTTACCCTTAATGCAGTCTCCTTTCATCCTGATATCTGTTTTGTAGCTTACTTTCTTAATTGATAACATTCTTTAAAATGTTGGCAGGGAAGATTTGAGTCATTTCTCCTCAAGTACAATGTTGCCTTTAAATCACAGAATTACGCACAGGGCGTGACATCCATGTGTAGTCTACATGACCCTCTCACATTGGATCTATGGAGACCTGACTTCAGAATTCCTCTTCAGATGTGTCACTGTTCTTCCATTAGTCATGGGTGGGCTCCAGGCAGGCAGTCCAAGCTTTGTGTTTCTTTGGTTTGAAGATAATTGTCAGCTAGCCCACAAAAGCCAAGGTCTTTGCTTGCTTATAGATGGTTGATTGCAGATAAAAATATGATGAGAAAAGTCACATTCCCACAGACATAAATTGCCAACACCACCTTTTTAAAAACATGGCCCTGAAAGAAAAAAAAAATCAGATGCAAAAGAAAGTACCACCAAGGCTGTGTCAATAAACAAGGAATGATGGACTTACCTCTGCTTCAGCTACAGTAATTGAATGAAAGATCTGAATCCTGTCATCATCCAGGATCTCACCTGTCAAGAAGAATACAAGCTTATAAGAATGATATTCTTCAGGTAAATTCACTTTCAAAAACTGAAATAAAACCTAATGTCTGTGCTCCACCAATTTCTAGGATACAAGTTTTCCTGTTTCAAGCTACTAAATGCTGCAAACTTTCTGAATATTTAAGGTTCTCATGAAAAGAAACAAGTTAACTCCAGCACACGGTTTTCAAAGAACTTAAAATAAGCTTTCCTCTTCTAGTCCGTAACACCAGACCAAAGCCCAAATAATTCAAGTGTTTTTTCATTTTACTTTTTTAATTAACAAAATACAAATTGCATGTTTATGGCATATCACATTATATTTTGATCCATGTATACATTGTGGAATGGCTAAATCAGGCTAATTAACAGATGACAACAACCCAAATTTTAAAGACATATATATTTTAAATAATAAGCCATAATTCAGTGGTCATCAAAACTTCATGTATGTAACCCCATCAACCAAAAGTAAGGTTGAAGGTGTGGCTCAAGTGATAGAGTGCCTGTCTAGCAAGCATGAAGCCATGAGTTCAAACCCAGTACCACTAAAAGAAATTAACTTTTTTTTTAAAGAACCAGGGCTGGAGACATGACTCAAGCAGTAGAACACCTGCATAGCAAGCACAAAGCCCTGAGTTCAAACCCCAGTATAATTAAGAAGAAAGGAGGAAGAGTAAGAGAAGGAGGAAGAGGAGAAGGAGGAGAAGAAGAAGAAGGAGGAGGAGGAGGAGGAAGAGGTGGACAAGGAGGAGGAAGAGGGAGAAGGAGAAGGGAAAAGGGAGAGGAGAAAGAGAAGAAGAGTCAAATGTAACCAGTGTGGTGACACATACCAATAGTCCCAGCACTCAGGGGCTGAGGCAGAAGGACCTCCAGTTTAAGGCCAGTATGAGCTACATAGTACCTTGTCTCAAAAACAAAAAAAGAACCAAATATAGAGGGACAGATATTTACTATTTGGCTCATAAAAGCTGCTCAACTGTGACCGTGACACCCTGATCATGCCCGATCTCATCTAAAACAGCCCTGGCTCCTATGATTCATAACATGTAGACGACAAAGAGTTTTTGTTTTTAGGTCACTATGTGGGGGGGCTGAAAACTAGATAGGACATAGAGGACACATAATCTAGACTCCAAACCAGTTTAAAATGTTGTTCATTCTCTCCTAACTTTTCCACCCATGGCTAGCTTGCCTGGCACTGAGACCAAGCCAGACCTTGCCACTAAAGAACAGGGGAGAAGTAGTTCCTATTAGCTACAAACTTATCTCCATAGCGACCAAAGTCAAAGAGCTAAAATCCAAGAGCAGCTCTGCCCTGTGTTGACTCTGCTCTCTCCTTCCTCCAGGTATCCCAAGTTCCCAGTGTATACTGGTTCTAGGTCACATTAGCATGCAAAGTAAAGGTACATATGAAGAAAACTTCTTCCCTGCAACCTAAAATCTCTCCTTCCTATTTTATTCACACATTGTAATACCAACAGATGTAAGAACACAGAGATGGAATCTGCTGAAGTTTCTACCATTTGCTGAATAATCACAATAGAAATTAGTAATGAGATGCCTTGTAAGGGTCAACCACCAGTACCAGGAAACTAAGGTCCCAATAGTCTGTATAAAAGTGATGCAACAAAAATAAAAAAATAGATGAATAAAATAAAAGTGATGCCACATCACATGGCTTTCCAAGCAGGTTACCTCTTTTAGAGAGTCGGTAGGCATGGATCTCCAGAACAACCTCTGTCCCTATGTGCCAGGCTACAAACCCAATCATCACATAGGTCTTCTGGGGATTAGGGAGATTCAGTCCTGGCAAATCCATTCCTAGGAACATTGCTGCCACTAAGTATAGAGGAAAAAAATTATATTCAAGTACAATCCCCATCAAAAGAAATAACTGTGTCTATTATATCAATTAAAATGTATGCAAAGTTTATGAGAGGAAAAAGATTACTATTTAAGGCTACTAGTTAATTTAGTATTTTAGTAGAAGGCTCCATAAAGCAAAAAATGGTAATTATGATCTGCCAATTCATAAAAAAAGAAGCACCCAAACTTTCCAGAAAGTTTAAATCTGCAATGTAGAAAGAGAGAAAAGGGACAGAAACCAAGGCTGATTGTACTTCCTCTCCTATTGAATCCCACAGACAGACTGTAAGGGTAGCAAGCACTACCTGCAGGTTTATTACATAAGGCACCAAAATGTTTCAGATCATCAAACTTGCCTTTTGAAAACCACCTCCCTGCCAGGTCCACACACTATGGAAATGACCTGCCTGGATGGAGGGCTTGAGCCCAACAGCCCACCTAAACCCAATTCACAATGACCCTCAACTTGAGCTGCTCAAATGTTTGCCCATCAGTCTAGTTTATTCTTCTGGCAAAGGCAAACACTAAAATAAAGTCTTAGAGAATTTTAAAGCCATTTGAAAAATCTTAAACTTAGAACTGAAATAATGACTTAAATCGTTGCCTCTAGAAATTACTTTCTGGATTTCATTGTTTAAGGCTGATTTCCCCTGAACAGCCAATTACTCCAATTACTAATGCAGCAAAAAATCATTTAAGCCAAATTACAACTTGTGATCTAAACAGTCAGCAATTATATGAGAATTAGTGGCATCATAAATACTTACCTGCCATTATTCTAGCAGCTGTTCCTATACTCCAATGAGTCCAGTTAAACATTTGCCTTCTAGCAAAATAAAAAAAAAAAAGTCAGTATTCTTAAAAGTGATGTACTGACAATTAATTCCCAAGGAATTAAAAGGCATGCAATTGCCCTTATTGTCTGGGAATTAGATATCAGAAGCATTTTTTTTTTTATCAGAAGCATTTGACCTAGCTACTCAGAAGGCAGAGATCAGGAAGATCAGTTTGAAGCCAGCCCAGCCAAATAATTCACAAGATCCTAGCTCAAAAATACCCAATGCAGGAATGAGCTGATGGACTGGCTCAAATGGTAGAGAGCCTGCCTTTCAAACTAAATACAATTTGTCATCATATTTTCTAAGACGCAAAATGCTTCTACTTGAAAAGGGATGAGCTTACCAAGTGGTGATATACTCACAAAGAGCATTTATACAGAAAAGCTGCAGGTACCTTGGATCGTATAAAGGTGGCCTGAAGGCTGCCAGAAGAGGCTGAAGAACTGCTAAAGTCATCACTATACAGCCGAGGTATGGATGGTAACCTGCATGCTGAACAAAGTTGGGTCATCTTAATTGTCTCTGTCTCTCTCAGCAATTTAAATCCTCAAGTTCAAAGTAATATACACAAGTGCATTCTCAGTGCTTTTCCATGACTTTAACCACTCAGTTCTGATGGTGGTGATGGTGGTGGTGGTGGTAGTGGTGGTGATGGTGGTGGTGATGATGATGATGGTGATGGTCGTGATGGTGATGGTAATGATGATGATGGTGATGATGGTGGTGGTAAAGGTGGGGGTGGATGATGATGATGGTGGTGATGGTGGTGGTAGTGATGGTGATGGTGATGATGATGATGATGGTGGTGGTGGTGATGGTGGGGGTAGTGATGGTGATAATGGTGGTGGTAAATGTAGGGGTAATGATGGTGGTAGTGGTGGTGGTGATGGTGGTAATGGTGGGGGTAGAGATGATGATGGTGGTGGTGGTAATGGTGATGGTGATGATGATGATAGTGATGGTGGTGGTGATGGTGGTGGTGATTGATGATGATGGTGGTGGTGGTAAAGGTGGGGGTAATGATGGTGGTAGTGGTGGTGGTGATGGTGGTAATGGTGGGGTAGAGATGATGATTATGGTGGTGGTGGTAAAGGTGGGGGTAGTGATGGTGGTAATAAGAGGTAATGCTCCCTGAGAATGTACTTGTGCCAACCACATGCTTTCCACACATTACCACTAACGGCCTCTACAAGGCCTTACATTTGGCTACCAATACCCCAATTATACAGATGGGGGAACTGAGGCTCAGGGGTATCTACAACTGTGTCCAAGACCACATGGAGTGCACATGGTTGGGTGGGGTCCAGCAATGCTGCCTCTTCCGCATTAGGATGTTAGGTGACCCCAAAAGCAAGACAGTCATTAGCAACACAGCTACGGCTAGTTGGTATCCACATGTCAAGAGCTGTCATCCCTTGGGCTGGGGGGGGGGGGTGACTCAAGTGATAGAGCACTTGCCTACCAAGCACAAGGCCTTGGGTTCAATCCCCAGTACCGTGCACGCACGCACACACGCACGCACACACACACACACAGCAATCATTCTGGTGTGTGATAATGATTTGATTAGACCTCTGTTTCCCCTAACTGTGATTCCCTGTAACCCAAAGCTCAATAAATGCTTGTTGATTAAGTGGATAACCTGTGCAGCTACTACCTTGAAAGCTGGTCTCCTTTGTTCAGAATGAAGACTTAATTCAAGGAAAACATGCCAACACGGAATCTCAACAGTTTCTGCAACAATTCTGCACAGTGAGGCTGTGCTCCTCACACAGCCGTCAGCTCAGAATGCTTTGTACAGCCGTTCCACTTAACACTCGAGAGCCTGAGAGAAGGACTGAGAAGACGTTCTATCTGCTAACATATTTAGTACCCTGAAGGACACTACGGCCTGTGGTCACTGGCTTCCATGCTCAGGTAGGCTATAACTCTGTGACCTACAATAGGCACAAAGTAGCATCCAGGCCATGCTAAAGAGTCCTTGTAAATAGGAGCTAAAGGCTGACAAAAGGGCAATATCAAAACTGTACAAATGCTGGGCGCAGGTGGCTCATACCTGTAATCCTAGCTACTCAGGCAGAGGTCAGGAGGATCACAGTTCAAGGCCAACCCAGGCAAATAGTTTGCAAGACCCTATCTTGAAAATATCCAACACAAAAAAGGACTGGCGGAGTAGCTCATGTGGTTGATAGAGTGCCTACCTAGCAAGCATGAGGCCCTGAGTTCAAAACCCAGTATGGCCCCCTCAAAAAAAAAACTGTAAAACCATGGACTCAGTTGTACATACATAAAATTATAAGCATGACTATGTAGATGTAAAAGACCGCTACCTAATAAAAATAATAGAAACCACAACAAAATTCTTACACAGACTTAGAGTGTACTGGGAACTCTCGTATGTGCTTTCAGTCAGTGAACCCTAGTCCTCACAGAAAGCCTGTAAGATGAGTACAATCATCACACTTCACAGATGAGTATACTGAGAAGCAGAGACGTTAAGTCACTTGTCCCAGATGTCCCAGGAAAGAAGTGATGATGTCAAGATGCGAACCCAAGTAGCCTGGCTGTAGAATAGTGCTCTCTGCATCTGTGGATTCCACGTGTGTAGAGTCAACCACCAAAGAAAACTATTTGAAAAAAAAGAGACTGCATCACTACAACCCCAAAATCACAAAGCAAATGCTCACTCCAAATGCCTGGTAAAACAAAGTTCTGATGCCTCACTTCACATCAGAAAAGCTTCATAGTTTTCCTTAAAAATGGGCTGCCCGATAGGACATCAACTTCCTGAAGAGCAGGAAGGAGGTTCCCTTGTAACATCTCAGCCCAAACTTCACACTTATCCCATCGCACCAGCCCAAACTCTGAAATATTAAATTTTGATATCAAATTCTGACTGGCTATAAAACCAGAAGAGTGGAAGGGAAGCCCAGTTTTATTCTGAACTTAGGCGGATCCTTTATTCTCAATAAGCCTGTTCCTTCATTCACTAACTGCAGACTGAGTACGTTCACTGTACCAGAATCTGACCTGGATGCTTCGGACAGACCAGTGACAGACCAGTAAATATCTCCGCTATCACACAGCTTGCATGCCAGTGTGGGAAGATGCACAAAGAAAGAACCTCATGAATACATGATTTATATGACATCTTATAAGATAAAGAGTGTATGACAAAATGGAGCAAGGAGGGCTCTCAGAGTAAAGACTTACAGAAGATGAGGGAGTGAGGAAAACTCTAGAAAGCAAGAATTTCAACTAGATGTGGTGGTGCACACTGTAAGCCCAGCACTTGGGAAGCAGAGGCAGGAGGACTGCAAGTTCCAGGCAAGTTCTGGGCCAGCCTGGGCTCCATAGGGAGACTTTTTAAAAGGCAGGACTTTATCAAGCACGCCAGGCATCTTTGCAGTCCACCAAGGAAGTCAATGTAAAAGAAGATGAAATAGATGATACTAGGTACCAGATCATGGGGTTGTTAAGAGGTCTTTGGCTTTGTCTCTGAGTAACCAAGAAACATTACAGAAACCAGTTGGGGGCACAGGGAAACAAAATCTGACATACATATTATTTTTAATTACTCTACCTTCTTTAAGGAAAATACACTGTACATGAGCAAGGGTTGAAGTGAGGAGCCCAGACAGGTGGTGTGGTTTGGATATGAAATGTCCCCAAAGGCTCCTGGTGTCTCAATGATTGGGAGACCTAATCATTGAGAGGTGATTGGATCAGAGGCCCTGACTTAACCAATGACTAATCCACTTGTGGATTCCTAACTTGACAGCATTATTGGGAGGTAGTGGGAGATGGGGCTGGTTAGAGGAAGGAGGTCACTGGGATGTGTCTTTGAAAGATGTGTTATCCCTGGCCTCTTCCTGTCTTGCTCTCTGCTGGCTGACTGCCTGAGGCAAACATCTCCAACCCCACTACCTGCTCCCCACTACGTGGTGGTTCCCCATGACTCAGAAACAACAGAGCCAAGTGACCACAGACTGAGACATCTGAGACCAAGAGCCACAATGCAGCTTTCTTCTTTTTCCCTCAGGTATATGTCACCACAATGAAGATCTAACACAGGTGGCTACTGCAACAGTCCAGGCCAAAGATGATGCTAGCTCAGACCCACAGAGCAGTGTCAGGGGTAGGGTGAGAAGTGTTTAACAATAGAGCCAATAGGATTGCCACTGAAATTGACAGGGGTGCAAGAGAACAGCTAAGGGAAATGCCAGGCTTTAAAGATGGGGCTCCAATGGTTAGTATGAGAATGGCAGCAGGCAGAGCAGGACTGAGAGACAAGGTCAGGAATTCCATTTGGACTTGTTAAGCTTGAGAGCTTTTGGACGTTTCACAGAGGTCCTGAACTCTCCTTAAGATAGATTCGTGAGCCAGGGTAGAGGTCTGAGCTAAAGACAAACCTTCAGAAGCAAACCTTGGTTTCTTCCTTGTGGCATGGTATTATATCAATACCTGCTTCATTTGAGATTTAAATTTGATAAAGTATTTGACACACCTGGTCACATAGTAGGACTACAACCTGTGTTAGTAGGACATCATAGCAGTAATTAGAGAACACCACTTAGACTGTTCATGTTCCTTAGACATCAGACTTTGAATTCCCACCACTTTATAAGAAAAAAGTCATGAAAGCAATAGTATATACATTTGATGCAGCCTAAAACTATATTTCATCTCCAGCTCACCTCTGCTAGCACCCTCGCTTCACCGCTGATCTCCAACCATGTGAAATAGCCATTAGCTGACTCAAAAAGGAAAGAAAGGGGGATACACACAGGAATGTCTTGTGCCCAGCAATCTGCTTTGAGGTCATACGGGTTTACATAAAAGCATCTGTGTGAGACATACTTACCCTGCTCCAGCCTCCTCTGTATATAAAAGGCAGGACAAAGCCAATGCAGGTGAGTCCAGAAGTGATGAGCATAAGTACCCGATGTACCTGCAGGTGAGATGACAAAGTGAGATGACAGCTGAGTATGTAAGAGAAAGAGCTGGTGTTACAGCAGGCAGAGATCATGGTGGAAGGGTTCCCTGAACATCTAATCACAGTTTATAGCCAGGAAAATTAAGATTTGAGTATACCATTAAACTTGAAAGAAAACTCTAAGCTTCCATCCTCATTGTTCAAAAGTATTTGCTGAGGCCACCAACACAGAGCAGCAGGGGTGGGTATTTCGCACACAGAGCACATGTGCTTGCCAAGCCTTCCTTTCCTTCCACAGACATTTGTTAACCTCTGCTACCAAGTATGCTGCTATTGCAGGTGCAAAAATACTGGCTCCTGAAGAGCTTGCAATATACCCGACCAGGTAAGTGAAAAATGTATAAAACAAATAGCTCAGTGTAAAATCAAGTGAATTTTAAGAGTGAAAATAGGCACTGTTCATTGATCATGCCTTGAATAACTGATGCAAGCCAAACTATCCCAGAGAAAGTGGGGTGTAATAGTTACCCTATGTTTATCTATAAATGTCACAGTGTACACACACACATATACCAACACCATTATTTATTTACTTATTTATTTTGGTGGTACTAGGGATTGAACTCAGGGCCTCACACCTGCTAGACAAGCACTCTACCACTTGACCCCACTCCCAGTCCAACGCCATGCTTTCAGAGACAGTAGAGGATTTGGGCTGGAAATTGACATGGAGTCTTCCAGTTGGGAACACCCACATGAGTGTATTGGAGCAGAAGAGAGAGAGAACAAGACAGTGGGAATGAGAAAGAGCACAGTCACAAGGCAGATGCAACAAGGCATACAGCAGTTTGGAGAATAAATAAAACAGATAACCTTCCCAGCCAATAGTGAGAAATGAAGATTAAACAAGGGAAACTGCAAAAGCTGTAAATTTATATGAACATGAAGTGTGAAGAACACCTCCTGACAAAGTCACAACTGTCCTATTAGTGGTATTATTTCTGCAAGCAGGCTTGTGCTTGCACATACTCACTGATCTTCTACTGTATGTGCAAGAATCTCTGTGCCATGATCCGTGGAAAAGGGATAAGGTTCTACTTCTTTTTTTTTTTTTTTTTTTTGTGGTACTTGGGGGTTAAACTCAGGTCCTCATGCTTGCTAGGCAGACGTTCTACCGCTTGAGACACACCCCCAGCCCTTTCTGCTTTAGTTATTTTTCTAGTAGGGTCTCACTTTATGCCAGGGTCAGTCTGGACCTTGATCCTCCTATTTACACTTCCTGCGTAACTGGGATGACAGGTATGTGACACCATGCCAGGTTATTAGTTGTGATGGGGCCTCACAAACTTTTTGCCTGGCCTGACCAGGAACTGGTCAACAACAACTCCTGATCTTCACCCCCAAGTAGCCAGGATTACAAGCATGAGCTGTAGGGCCCAGCTATCTTTGCTTTCTTGACCCTGTTTATGTTTCCATTAAGAGATGGCTATCCCTTTACATAGGAAGGGACAGCATGGAAGTTTCTCATCCCAGGCACACAACCTGATGAATGTGGGATGGTCCAGCACTCACTGGCCCGTGGAGCAGCAGACAAACCCTTCTCTGATAGGCAGTAAGTGCCACTATTTCTTTCTTTGGCTCACCAGCTTTCCTTGACCAGCTCTGTTCAGTGCAAGAGTGAGTGCTCTTTCTGCCTCTCCCTCCACAAACACAGGTGTAAGGAAGGCTCATTTGGGTCCCAAAATCTATGTGTGGCCCTGACACATTCTCCAGTCCAGCTTGACTCTTCACAAAGCTGTCTGTATTTTGACCTCCATCAAGAATCTTGTGTCTGGCTGGGCACTGGTGGCTCACACCAATAATCTTAGCTATTCAGGAGGCAGAGATTAAGAGAACTGCAGTTCAAAGCCAGCCCGGGCAAACAGTTACAAGATCCTCTCTCGAAAATCCTCAACACAAAAAAGGGCTGGTGGAGTGGCTCAAGTGGTAGAGTGCAAGCGTGATGCCCTGAGTTCAAACTGCAGTATTGAGCACCCCCCCCAAAAAAAAAAAAATCTTGTGTCCGCTTTCAATTGGTTAGGAAACCAAAGAGGACCTAAAAGCTACAACAGTTATAACTGAAAACAAAAAAGCACACATGCATCATGTTGCAATGTTCAAATAATATGGAAATAGCAGTCAGCGTTTTTTTCCTTCACCTACCTGAAACCAAACTGCTTGACCAAGGAAGAAAGCTTTTGACCAAACAGGTCTGAGGAACCGGGCAACCAGTACACCTATGCTGACAGTGGTCATCCATGCCACAAACATCAAGGCACCTGCAGGTGAGAAAAGTACAAAGGCTGACACTACAAACAGGTTAAGCTATTTCTTAAATGACCAAACAAAATGCTCAGAAAACATAAACATCCTACAAAGTCCCTTTGGCCAAGCTAAGTTTGACCTAAAAAGACCCCATGTGTCCTAGTTTTCACCACAAATACTTCTTCTAACAGCCAACACTTCTCTAGCCACTGTTACATGCGAACCACGCTCAGTGCTTTTGGTATATTTGTCAAACTGATCTTTACAACAATCCTACAATTGTTTCAGTTTTTCTGGATGAGGAAACTAAGTCACTTCCCCAGGATGACAAAGTCAGGATGTGAACCTGGTATGGCTTCAGGAACTAAATTGTGCTCTTTTGGTTGTTTTTGGAGGTACTGGGATTTGAACTCTGAGCCTCATGTTTGCTAGACAGGTGCTCTACCACTTGAGCCCCTCCCCCAGCCCAGCAACTGTGCTCTTAACTATTATACAGCATATCTAAAGTTATTTTAGAATGGTCTCACATCTCACTCCAAGAAATAGCGCAGGGGAAAAAATGATTTCCAAAACCATTTACTAAACAACTGGAGGTACCACCTTGTAGCCTAGGCTGGCCTGGACCTCCTGACAGCCCTGCTTCAGTTCCAGGTTCTGGAGTTGAAGGCAGGTACTACCACCCCCAGCTTAATAATAAAGTAATCTTCAAGCTCAACTGTGATGATATTTATGATAACTCTTGCATAACGGGTAACTCTGGAGAATATAAAGGGAGAAAATCAAACAAGAGAAATTCCTCCAAATGTTGTTTTATACTACAGCATTTTCCTGCTTTTAAAGTCAATCTCTTCAACAATAACTAGGCTATGTTTCAAATGGAATCACCTTTCACTGGCAGAACCACAGCATCTGAGAGCCTTGTATCTAGACTACTGTTCTTCCACGTTCGTGCTGCTCTCACTCAAATACATGACTCCTAAGCACTGCAGTGAGCACGCTGTGCACACTCAAATGCTTGTACATTGACCTGCTCCTCAACAAAACTGTATTTGTGGAACCAAGCTCCTGTTACAACTAAACCACTCTTGTGAAAACTGGCATTTATTTTAACAAATGGCAAAATTTAAGGTCTTGTGAAAGTTAATCAACCCACTGTAGTTATAAACAACTGGAATACTTCTTTAGAATTACAGATATCTTAAAAGTTCCATTGCTGATTTTAGTATGCAGCCAGGGTTAAAACCACAGAAGTAAACCTAGTTTCCATTTTTAATAAAAAATAGCAAACATTCAGATAGACGACCTACCTGTAAATGTTAAACATAAAAGACTTATGATAATTTACTAAGTTATACCTGCCACCCTTCATAATCCAGCCAACACTAAGTCAACAGGTAAGTTTATTGCTTGAAGCTGTAACCATACTACACAAATAACTTACCATGAGCCTTCAAAAGGGGTGAAGAATGGGATCCGCCTATGTTCTTTGGAGAGTCTGTCACATTATACTTTTCATATGTAATTAGAGGTTGCTTAGAGTGCTTGTAAATTCGACCTAAGGATGACAAAGAAAAAAATATTTCCTCAGGGAGGAGGACTTGTGAGAGAGGCATGGGATGGAAAGAAAATTTCTTATGGTAATGAAAAATAATTGAATATCAACAGACTTGTCATTCATATGCAAAAGTAAAATGAAGATAGAAGCAAACGCACATGGCCTTCATGAAAATTAAAGAAATAATTTAGCCAAGCAAGAGATGAATCAAAATAAAGACCAGGACTGGACAAATTACAGTAACAGAACTGGAAGTACGCAAGAAATATGTTAAGTAAGAAGTGACCCCAACTACTAATCTGGCTGCAAATCACTGAAAATGTCAAGTATAATTCTTGAAAGAGAACAGATAGTTTTAAAACTATCTACAAGCTATTGACCATCACCACATCCAAAATCCTAGAACATACTAACAGAAATTGGACCTGGGGAGAGATGGTGAGAGGAGGACCAAAAAGAACATTCTGATGATATGGTACTTGGCATATAGTCAATTCAGACTGTGTCTGAGTAACAAATCCAAATCCAAAATAATAGTGACATAAATGAATTGAGAATGCATTGTCTCTTATTACTCTTCATTACATCTAAAATTAAATCTAGGAATGTATAGAATTATTCCAGGTGTGTGTTCATTCTAGGATTCTAACCAACAGAAATATCTACTTTTTAACCAAAGACATATGTAGAGGAATGTTCACAGCAACTTTTTTAATGCTGGTGGAAAAGAAAATATAGATAAACCAAATGTCCATCATTAAGAGAACAAATAAATAAATTATGGAACATACATACTTTTAGAACGCTATGCAAGTATACAAATAATTAAGAAATTTTATAACAGACATATATATGAACCGTTGTCTCAAACAAATATTAGGTAACAGATTTTTTTATCTAAAATAATCTATAAATAATTATATGGGATACAAGTTATATTGACTGACTAAAATGCAGCCAAGCTAAAAAGTAACAAAAAGCCAGAAGAAAACTGGAGACAGCTCAAGTGGCAGAGTACTTGCCTAGCAAGCTCAAAGCCCTGAGTTCAATCCCAGAACTGCCAAAAAATATATATAGTCCACCTAGACATTTATAAAAACTACTCTTTATAAAAATTCTTGGACTAAATAAGAAATCAAAACTAAAATCATAAATCTCAGAGATGTGTAATAGTGAGAAAACTTCATATCAAAACACACGAATGTGGTCGGGCGCCAGTGGCTCATTCCTGTAATCCCAGCTACTCAGGAAGCAGAGATCAAGAGATCACGGTTTGAAGTTAACCCACACAAATAGTTTACAAGACCTTATCTCAAAAAAAGTCACAAAAAAGGGATGGTGGAGCAGCTCAAGATGTAGGCCCTAACCCAGTACTGAAAAAAAAAAAAAAAAGCACCACATGGATGCAATCAAGGTAAAGACAAAGAATTGAAGTAAAATTGAAGTAATCATTAATGTAAGGTGCATTTAAAACAACAAAACTGCCAGGCACCTGTGGCTCACGCCTGTAATCCTAGCAATTTGGGAGACAGAAACCGGGAGGATGGAAGTTGGAGGCCAACCTTAGCAAACAGTACTAGAGACACCATCTCCAAAATAACCAGAGCAAATGGACTGGAGGTATAGCTCCAGCAGTAGAGTGCCTGCTTTGTGAATGAGAAGCCCAGAGTTCAAAACTGCATCCCAACAAACATAAATAAGAAATATAGCCTAGTAAACCAGAAAGGCCCATACAATTCTTAGTTTCCATCAACTCTGACCACAAGACAAAAGGAAATATTACCTTGTTTGAAATTAACAAGTGGCACGGCTGCTGACACAGAAGGAATGCTGTCATTACATGAAAACCCTGCATGCAACTTTAAATCAGCCAAGATGTGTCCAGCTCTAAATGAACTCTAAATGAAATGTACAGAATTACAGAAAACAACCAAAGAGGAAGTAGTAACTCGTAAGAGGAATAATAATACAAGAACTGTTCATAATCAACTGTGTCCATCTCACATTAGACTGTTAGTGCTGTGAGTTCTACCACATCATGAAGAGAACAATTGGTAACATTAAAAATTCTTTTCAACAAAACTGGAAAAAAGGGCAGAACAGGTTTTGTCTGGAAGTGAGAGGGGTGGGGAGGAGAAAGAGGGGGCAGGGGGGCAGGGGGGAGAAATGGCCCAAACAATGTATGCACATATGAATAAATGAATATAAATGAATAAATAAATTCTTATTTTAGGGCTGGAGGTGTGGCTCAAGTGATATAACTCCTGCCTAGCAAGATAAAGGCCCTGAGTTCAACACCCAGTACCACAAAAAAAGAAATCTTATTTTATTTACACTCTTCTAGAGTTCATTCTATGAGATTAGCAATACACTGAAAGCAAAATACCTGTGAATACACACACACACACACACACACTCCAACAACCACAGACCAAAGTCACTTACGAATATAGACACAAGAAGCTTAATCAAAATATTAGCAAATCTAAGTTCTGTATTCAAACAATAAAATGTGACCAAGTGAGGCTTATCCCAGGACAATCTGCCATGCAGAAATCTATAAAAGTAATGATAAAATATCTCAATAGCTGCCCAAAAGACATTACGGGAAACCAAGCACTCATTCATGATATAAACTCTTAAGAACGTTGGGAACAAGTCCTCAGCACAAAAAGGATTTACAGCAGAGGGGGGTGGGGCAGGATGAGGATAAGAAGTGTCCACCATTTTGTCTCCATGAGTGAGAAGAGTCAGTAACATAGGAGAGACCATCTTCTGAAGAGGGAATGAGAGGAAGAGGGTCAGGAATCACCAAAAGCACAGGGAAACTGAGGCAGCAGAGAAAAGCAGCACACAGTTCCAAGCCATTCCAGGTATGAATGACAAATAAATATATGAACAATGCCCAACATCCTTGGCCAAAAAGGAAATGCAAATCAAAACAACACTGAGATTCCACCTCTTTCCAGTCAGATTGATGTTCATCAAGAAAACAAACAACATATACTGGCAAGGATCAGCATCCCTATGACCTTATGACCCTGCCATACCATTCTTGGGCATATAACCAAAAGAGCAAAAATCAACATACAATCGAGCTATTGCACACCCATGTTTATTGCAGCATTATTCACAATAGCCAAGCTGAGCGATCAGCTTACATGCCCAACAACCAATGAAATGGAAAAGAAAATGCTATATATACACAATGCAGATTATTCAGCCATGAAGAAGAACGAAGTTATGCCATTTGCAGGAAAACGGATGGACCTGGATAATTAGTTGAGCAAGATAAGGCAAGCTCAAAAAAGCCAAATATCATACGCATTTTACTCCTACATGGAATCTAGACCTAAAATGATGATGACCACAACAATGATGGCAATGAGTATAAAAGGGGGGCTGATGTGGAGGGGGGTCAGCAGAAGGGGCAGTGTTAAAAAAAGAGGATAATAGGAGCAAAAGAGGACTGAAGTACATTTTGTGTGTGTGTGTGTGTGTGTCTGTATATGTGTGTGTGTTTATGGTGTATATGTGTGTGTTGTGTGTGTGTGTGTTTATGGTGTATATGTGTGTGTGTCTGTATATGTGTGTGTGTTTATGGTGTATATGTGTGTGTGTGTGTGTGTTTATGGTGTATATGTGTGTGTGTGTGTGTGTCTGTATATGTGTGTGTGTTTATGGTGTATATGTGTGTGTGTGTGTCTGTATATGTGTGTGTGTTTATGGTGTATATGTGTGTGTGTGTGTGTTTATGGTGTATATGTGTGTGTGTGTTTATGGTGTATGTGTATGTGTGTATGTGTTTATGGTGTATATGTGTGTGTGTTTATGGTGTATGTGTGTGTGTGTGTGTGTTTATGGTGTATATGTGTGTGTGTTTATGGTGTATATGTGTGTGTGTGTGTGTGTCTGTATATGTGTGTGTGTTTATGGTGTATATGTGTGTGTGTGTCTGTATATGTGTGTGTGTTTATGGTATATATGTGTGTGTGTGTGTGTTTATGGTGTATATGTGTGTGTGTGTGTTTATGGTGTATGTGTATGTGTGTGTGTGTTTATGGTGTATATGTGTGTGTGTTTATGGTGTATGTGTGTGTGTGTGTTTATGGTGTATGTGTATGTGTGTGTATGTTTATGGTGTATATGTGTGTGTGTGTGTTTATGGTGTATGTGTATGTGTGTGTGTGTTTATGGTATATGTGTGTGTGTGTGTGTGTGTTTATGGTGTATATGTGTGTGTGTGTGTGTGTGTGTGTTTATGGTGTATATGTGTGTGTGTGTGTGTGTGTCTGTATATGTGTGTGTGTTTATGGTGTATATGTGTGTGTGTGTGTGTGTGTTTATGGTGTATATGTGTGTGTGTGTGTGTTTATGGTGTATATGTGTGTGTGTGTGTTTATGGTATATGTGTGTGTGTGTGTGTGTGTGTGTGTGTGAAGGTAGCATAATACAACCCATCAAATTCTGTTTAAATAAGCAGTGTGGGGTGTTGGAACAAAATAGAGGGAATGAACTTGTTCAAAGGACACTATACACGTCTATAAAATTATCACAAAGAAACCCACGTGTGCTAATAATGAATACTAACCAAAAAAAAATCAAAAAACTAAACTGATATTTTTTTAAAAAGGACATACACCAGAAAAAAAGAAGACAGTAAGAAGACAGGACATTTCTCAGAAGCATTCACATCAAAATCAGAACAATGCAAGAACACTTGCCATATCACCAGTGCCATTCTTTGTTGTTCTAGGAGAACTAGACTGTGCAATCAGACAAGATTACACAGGACCTGTTATTTGCATAGAGCATGACATTTATCCAGGAAACCCAAGGTAATCAACTGAAAAACTAGGTGGGTAAACTCAAGATAAATATTCAAGCTAGTAGCCTTCCTATATACTAGCAAATTTTTTTAATATATGAAAAAGAATCCTATTCACAGTTGTTTGTTCTAGGGGAAAAAAACTGTAAAATACCTAGGAACAAAAAATATTTAAGTCCTATATAAAAATATGAGGAAAACCATAAAATTCCACTGAAAGAAACATATGCAGGACCTAAATAAGTGGAAGATAGCAGAAAGACCTGCTATTATAGAGTTATTATTCCCCAAATTAATCTACAATTTCATTTCACTTTCCATCACAACAACAAATTTTTCACAGAACTTAACAAATCATTTCTAAAGCTCATCTAAAAGAACAGATACTCAACAGGGAGGCAAGAACTCTTGGGGCTAAAAGGCCAAAAGGTGGGTGCAGAGGTGCATGCCTATAATCCAAAATACTTGGGAAGTGGGGCAGGAAGATCACTTGAGCCCAGGAGTCCAAGGCCAGCCTGGGCAATGTAGCAAGAGTCTGTCTTTTAAAAAGAAAAAAAAAGAAGACCAAGAAGGGAATCATATTCTTTCAAAATCCACAGCCTATGGTAAGGTTATAGCAATTCCAACTACAGCAGGAATAAACAAATAGATGAAGGGAAGAACAGAAAAATGAGAAATAGTTCGATTTACTGACAGATTGTTAGCATTTGATAAAAATTATTTTGGGACACCTAGTTATTTGTTCAGGGTTACCATTACACCATTCTCCATGATAACAGAGAAGACCAGACATAGAGCAGAAAATGAGAGGTTTATGCAATGAACACCCAGAAGAAAGTACCAAGAGCAAAGCAACAATACCTGTCAGGAACTAAGAAAACCATCAAAATGATAAAGAAAACTATCAAAAATGACAAGAAAAGGCATTAAGAAGCTAAAAATTTTGCATGAGTGGAGTGATGGAAGAGAAATCACATTCCAACAAACCTGAAAGACAAGTCGAAGAAAAAAATGTTCTTATATTCTGAATCACTGTAGAGCCAAGGACCAAGCATGAACTGAACCTTCTTGAAAGCAGGAGTCCATTACAGTTTTAGAATAACATTGTGTGGTTCTATCAAAGAGAAGCTCTACTGTACGAGAGCTTGACTTGCTTCTTACAAGACTCCATAGAAGTATGTGGCTTGTTTTACACTCACATTGTTTAAAGAACAGGTCACGTGGTATCAAGGTCTCTTCATTATAAGTTGATAGGTTTAATTATGAATTATTTACTTGCCCAAGTGATTTCTACCTTTTGGTTTAAACACTCAGCTTTTTCCTATGACTTCTTGCATCAAGCTACAACAAAAAAGTCAGCATTCTGGGGAAACAGAAAGCTTAAAATGGGTAGATCTTTCAGTAAAATCTGAAACACTTTAGTGAAACTGGGTACACTTTACATTTACAAGCTGTATGATTATATGATTACCATGAGAAATGGTTTAAAGCTTACAAAGTCTCACTGTTTGAAATAGAGTTCAACTTATAAATGGTCCACATAAGCCAGGCATGCTAGTACATGCCTGTAGTCCCAGCACTCAGGAGGCTGAGGAAAGAGGACCATGCGTTTGAGGGCAGCCTGGGCTGTACAGCATAACCCTAGCTAAAAAACAAAAGAAAAACCAGGAAAAGGTTCAGATACAGATTTCTAAACAACAGGAGAGAATTATTTATGCAGTAGCTATCCATTGTTGGCCAGTACAAAGGAAATGGAAAAAGAATTCTCTTGATCAACAATCTCCATTTTTATTTTTTGGAATTTTTGTTTTATTTGCTTTGCACTCCACCAGTTTAAAAAAAAATAAGGCATGCCCTCAATATATTTATATTTTTATTAATAAATATATTCATCGCCATGGCTCACTCCTGTAATCCTAGCAACTCAGAAGGCAGATCAGGAGGATTGGGTTCAAGGACAGACAGGCAGATAGTTCTCAAAACTCTATCTTGAAAAATATCCAACAAAAAAACAGGGCTGGCAGAGTGGCTCAAGTAGCAGAGCACCTGCCTAGCAAGTACAAGGCCCTGAGTTCAAATCCCAGTACTACCACCACCAAAAAATACTGTTTCCAGGCTGGGGGCATGACTTAAGTGGTACAGCTCCTGCCTGCAAGCTCAAGGCCCTAAATTCAAACCCGGTACTGCCAAAAAATGTTTCTTGGTTCACACCTATAATCCTAGCTACTTGGGAGGAAGAAATAGGAGAATCATAGTACAAGGCCAACCCAGGCAAAGTTAGCAAGATCTATCTCCAAAAAACAAGCCAGGGGTTAGACGTGCGGCTCAAGTGGTAGGCATCTACCTGCCTAGCAAGCACAAGACCCTGAGTTCAAGCCGCAGTATAGCAAAAAAGGAAAAAAAGAAGAAGAAAGCCAGGCACATAGCACCCAGTTACCCCAGTTGTGGGGTAGTGGTAGGAAGGTCATAGTCCAAGGCCAGCCCCAGGTAAAAGCAAGAGGCTCTATGTGAAAATGAAGTAAAGCAAAAGGACTGAGGCTTGACTAAAGTGACACTTGCCTAGCAAGCACAAGCCCTTGAGTGCAAATCCCAGTACTGCACAAAAGGAAGGAAAAGAAAATACATTCTGAGCCATGAAGAAATTTTTGCATTGCCATACATCACACACACATACTGTTTCTAGGACCCCTGCAGTAGACATGCCCTTGTCAATACACTCAGGGAAATACAAACATATGACTTCTTACAAGGTGTTCTAGTTCTTCTGGACAAACTGCATTTTACCAAGTAGAGGCTGTTCTGATCACGTTTAATGGTGATTTGTAACCTAGCTGACACTCTTCGTTTTCAGAGAAAGAAAGCTAGAGGTTAACCAAAACTCAAAATTTCAGGAGAAAAAGGAACAGGGTTATAGCGCCTTACCTTCCAGTGTGTACCTTAAAAATGAGCAATTACAGGAGTCTTTGCAAAAGGGGGAGAAGTGGAAGGAAGATGAATAAAACACTTGTAAAGATAGTTTTCATCAATGGTGTACACTTACCATCCTTCACTGCACCATCTGCTAGAAATATGTAGAAGCTCTCATTCAGATCAAATCTATTCTTAACCCCAGGAAGGTAATGTTTCTTCTGAAAGAACACTGAATTACACCATCCGCCAACCTCCAAGCCATATCCTCAAGAATCCCCTACAAACATACAATGGGTCTTCTTAGCACTCTCCAGAGACTTGCTAAAAATAAGACATTATCAAAACCTGACTGTTCGATTTCCTTTCCCCATCATGGTGTGTGCATGTTTTATATGCAGTGTCATTGTCTGTCACTTCCTCTCTGAAGACTACAAGAACATTTTCTCCCAGTTTGTCTTGATCCCACTTGGCAAAAATAAGATTTTTACACTGAGCCAGCACCCCATGGTTCTCGACCCAGGTTGGAAACTTGGGCAGGTGTCCTGATTCCATCTGGCACCTAGCACACAAACAGAAACACTGAAGAAACAAATAAAAAGTAATACATTAGTGGGCCCAATGCAGCTGACCACTGGGGAGGAGTTGCGACAGCTGAGGAAAGCCATTTACAATGGGATCATGAATGACACCTACTGCTCTATCAGACTCACTTTCGAGGTCACTAAGTGACAGCCACTGCTCCTTTACAATTCATGTGTTTGTAATCACCCTGTGAAAAAGACACTTCTCTATCACAAATGGTCCACACTGGCACAGACACCAACAAAGAACACAAAAACAACTGCCTAGGGTGCCAACTGAGTCTTTACCTATGTGTCCTTTCTGCTCCCTAATTAGGGAATCTAGTGACACTCACTAATCTCTCCTTAAAACTGCACGCTTCTGTAAAGGAGCTAATGCTAACGCATGTTAGCAACCATAAAACACCTTTCGTTAAGATGCAACTAAAAGAATTTAAGTGACGGCAAGAATTCATCTTTTCCTAAAGAGAAACTCTTTTGTACAACTTCTCAGAGATCTCATGAGAGGAACCCTGCTGTCCAAGTGAGGCTGCTGACTGCAGGGGAGTTGGACACTCTGTCACAGCCCCATAGCAGGAAGGTGGACCAGCCAGGTGGAGGCTCTCACTCACCTGGAGTCCATCACAGGGTGACTTCGCCCCGTCAAATGAGAAGGCTGTATGTGCACACTCTGATCTTCACGAATACACATGTAAGCATCGTCGTGCCCCTGAAAACAATTGCAAAGGACAAACTCTTAAAAGAGGTTCAGCCATGGTTTAAAAGTCTTTAGATGTTATTTTAGAAACACTTTACCCATTAAATGTTAATGATCTATGAATTCTAGAGAACTGGCTGTTCATTTGTTAGTTAAAAAACATTCATTAGAATAGAAAAGTACTAAAATTTTAGTGCAAAATAACAGAGCAAATTGGACGTGTATGGGGGGGGTGTAGCTCGGTGAGATAGCTCTTGCCTGGCAGGTGCAAAGACCTGGATTCAATCACCAGTGATGAAAAAAAACAGACATATGATAAGCTTATATGTCCACAAACCCACCACGAGTTGATGCAACTATTCATGTTTCATGTACATCATTTAACTTCTTTGTAATTTTACCTATTTTTTCCCTTCCCAAGTGGAAAAATACAGTTTCACCTTTTTTTTTCACTTAATTTACTATAAATATTGTTTCAGATATTTACTTGTGAACAAATACAGATGTCCTGTATATTCATGGCTGTGAATACACTGTATTATATTAGATATTTTGGGGTTAACTTTTAAGATGGACAGATATTATAAAAATATTGCTACATGTTATACATACTCCATAGATATCTTGTTACAAACTGAAACAAAACTATCTGAACTCAAGGAGGAATTTTTTATCAGTATAATTCTTATTTATCCTTTTGTCTCTAATATTCCTTAACTGAAAGTTAGGCCTTATTCTTGAAAATGGTTGGGAGAAGACAGGCTTCAACCTCAAAGTACACTGAAGCAACGAATAACCTCCACTTTAAGAAATTTTTTTATAGACCATAAGCTAACAAGGTCTTTTATGCGCTCTGGTCACTAGCTTTTTTTCACCTTTTTATGAGCTGGTCTTTCTCTATGTTACCCAGACTGATCCTGAATTCCTGGGCTCAAGGGATCGTCCTCCTTCAGCCTTCCCAGTAACTGGAACTGTGGGCAATGTCACCACACCCAGTTCTAGTCACTAACTTCTTAAACAAGATCCCAGACTATCCAACTATAATAAATTTTGCTATAAATTCCAATATGTCCCAAACTTGGGAGGCTCAGACAGGAGGATTAGGCCAGCCTAGGCTACACAGTGACTTGTCTCAAAATCTAACATGAAATTCTAATATATTTCTGTATGTCCAAATTTAAAATGTTACACTTTAGAAAACTTTCAAGGGCTGGGGGCATGGCTCAAGTAGTAGAGAACCTGCCTAGTAAGTGAGAGTCCTGAGTTCAAACCCCAGTACTGAAAAAAAAAAATCTTTCAAAGACATAATCCTAGCAAAGCAATTATTCACTGTTACACAACTTATAGTCAAATCAGAATTTGCTCAATTCAAGACAAGAAACTTTCAATGGACATGATTTAAAACAAGAGTTAACAAATTGAGGCCTGCAAGCCAAATTCAACCTGAGGATAATTTTTACACTGCTTTGGGGCTAAGAATGATTGTTGTACAAACTTAAATGGCTTAAAAAGTTAGAGGAATTATTTATGACAAATGAAAATATATCAAATTCAGTGTCCATAAATGTTTTGTGGGAACATGTAGCATGCAAGGTTGCTTCTGTACTCCAACAGAGCTGAGTACTGGGACAAGAACCATAAGGCCCACAAACTCTAAAACAGCTCCTATCTGGTCCTCTACAGAAAAGGTTTGCTGAACCCTGGTTGTAAACAATGTGTTTTCTAAAATGTCTATCATTGACGAGACACAGGAATACTTTTGTTGGTACAAGCCACGTCAGAGATAGTGACAGTGCACTCAAGAGAATAAAGAGACACAAGCAAGGAACAAATCAAAAGTACATGACGGGCCAGAGGTGGTGGTGCAAACCTATAATCCCAGCTACTCAGGCAGAGGAAACAGAAGGACCAAGGCTTAGGCCAGCCTTAACAAAGTTGGCACCAGACCTTATCTGAAAAATAAACTAAACACAAAAGGGCTGGCGGTGTGGCTCGAGTGGTAGAGTTACGACAAAAAGAAAGTACATGGGAGGACCAAGGGGTACCTCAGTGATAGAGTGTTGGCCTAGCACGCATGAGGACTGGAGTGTGATCCCCAGCACCACCAAAACAAAAAAAATAAAGTGCGATGAACATTTGAGCACTCAAAACTTGATTTCCAAACACTGTTCTTACTAGTGGGAATACAGCCCCTTTGGAAAACAAGGAAATGCATGAGCTGGGGATGCAGCTCAGTGGTTGAGTGCTTGCTTGGCATGTATAAGGGCCTGAGTTTGATTCCCAGCACTGAAAAAAAAAAACATGAAACTATAGTGGAAAACACACCTTGACACCTTGTTACAGCAGAAGACAAGGACATGCTCAGAAACTGACGGAGGGACATCAAAAGAGCACAGAAGCCAGCTAGACAGGGCACCCATCGGCCACCTCCAGGTCAATGGGACCATCTAAAAGAAGAATGGTGGCAGTAAACTGTGGCACAGTGGACAAAAGAGATCCATTAGTTTATTGTGCTACTCCAAAAGGGAAGGAAAGGTGCCAGGAGAAGAAAGCTCTTCTTTTCAGAAGAATGTCAGCTCATAAATAAGGTAGAAAACCACCATTTTGTGACCACAATGTAACCACTGATGAGAAGCAGCACCAATTAATGCTAAAATCATTTGTCAGCAGGCTGTTGGGGAGCAGAATACTCAGTCTCAAAGCATCACCCCACGTGTTATTGATTACACACAAAGAGGAAATGCACCTGCACCCTATGGAAATCTGACAGACACAATCATACAACAGAGCACCGTTAAGAACAGGACGATTTCACAGCATGCACCTTTTCACATGGTGCAGTGATTTGGAATCAACATCCTTTGTGCAGTAGAGGTGAGTCTCAGTGTGAATCTATTTGTATAAAGCGCAGAACATTCTACAAAACATCTGGCCTGAAAAGGAAAAAAACAGTCAAGAAAAAAAGGTAGGGTAACAGTTCTAAGGCAAAGGAGATCAACAAAAATATATGAAATGCACTGAGTGAAAACTGTGGATCTTAGATCAGAATTAAAAAAAAAAAACAGCTAGAAAACTAGAAAAGCACTTTGTTGGGACAATGGAAGAAATTTAATGATTGACAATGTATTGCATAAATTATATCTTTATTAAATTTTCTCAGAATGATAAAGATATTGTGGTAATTATGGGAGAGTGTCCTTGTTCTTAGAAGAGATATGCTGAAAACTTTCATATCATATGAAATGCTGAAATTTCATATCTACAACTTACTTTCAAATAGTTCAGGGAAAAAATATGTCATTATGTATATTACATAAACTAATGGAGGTAGAGAGATACAGATGGAATGGACAAAGAAAAAATGGCAAATCCAGGTAAAGGGCTGATGGGTGATCACTAAATTATTCTTTCAACATTTATGGAGGCTTAAAGTTTTTTATAAGGAAAAGTTGGAGGTGAGAGGAAGGACCTGAGAGATGAACGAAGGGAGGAATCTAAGTCACATATTCTTTGAAAACCAGGGGAGATGTTGGCAGAAGCAAATCAGATGTTCTATAGATTACCTAGATGGGTACCTGACAAGAAGCAAGCAAACAATAATGGTAACTGTGTTTTCTATAGAGTTGTTAATCACAAAAGCAGGGAACACAAGGAGACCTTAGGAGGCAAAATAATAATAAATTCAGTTGGTGATTTGTGTTGTCCAAGAACAGTAGCCTAAGTTCAAACCCTAGTCCCATTCAAAAAGCAAAACAACAACAAAAAAGAGCAATTACTTGGATGAGAACCCACATCTGGGACGATCCTAGAATTGGCCACTGAAAGTGGTGTAAGCCACAAAATGGTACACAGCAAGGGTCAGATGCAAAATATATAGTGGGTCTCCATCCCTTTCTCCTGGCATAGAACTCTTAAAGTCCTTGGAATTTTCTATCATCTTCTATTGTAATGGTTTGACTGATGGCTGGCAGCCTCTAGTAGTAATAGGACTATAGGATAGGGAGTTTTTTTTTTTTTTTTTTGGCAGTACTAGGGTTTGAACTCAGGGCCTCATGCTTGCTAGGTAGGCACTCTACCATTTGGGTCACTCTACCAGCCCTTTTTGTGTTGGGTATTTTCAAGATAGAGTCTCAAAAAACTACTTTCCCTGGGCTGGCTTCAAACCATGATCCTCTTGATCTCTGCCTCCCGAGTAGCTAGGATTACAGGTGTGAGCCACTGGTGCTTGAGCCAGGGTTGGAACTTTGAACTCCACTCCCCAAACTCTGGGAAATGAGAGGGGCTAAAGGTTAAATTACTCACCAGTGGTCAAGAATTTAATGAATTGTGCCTATGTAATGAAGACTACCATAGAAACCCAAAGGGTTTCTGGGAGCTTCCAGATAGCTGAACATATGGAAGTTCCTGAAGGGTGACAGCCAGGAGAGGGTGTGGGAGTTCAGTGTCCCTTCTCCCATCTCCCACCATCTGCATGTCTTTACCAATATCCTTTGTAGTATCATTTATAATAAGCCAGTAAATACAAATGCTTCTGAGTTCTGTGATCAGCTCCAGCAAATTAACCAAACCCCGGGAGGGAGTGTTAGGAGCCCTGGTTTGAAGCCTGTGGACTCAGAAGCCCAGGTAAAACAATCTGAGGCTGTGAAAGGCATCTGAAGTAGGAGAGGCAGCCTTGGGCATTGAGCCCTCATCCTGTGGAATCTGATCTGCCGCTATCTCCAGGTAGGTGGTGTCAGAACCAAATTGAATTAGAAGACAACCAGCTGGTGTGTGCTGCAGAACTGACTGCTTGGTGTGTGGGCTGAAGCCCCCACACATTTTGGGATCACAGTGCGAGAAACTGAGTCTGTGTTTGTTTTCCACTCATCAGGGAAAGAGATAGAAGCTGCTAATGTGGACCCTTGATAGATTTCACATTATTTAACAAAATATCTCAGATAGGGAAGATGTATGTACTTGGAAATTCAGTTAAAATTCAAACATCAGCAAGACTTTTGTTAGCAAAAATATGGAAAGCTCTACTTTCCATCAACTTTTTGATTAGGTCTAATACTAAAACAATTTCTATCATTAATTTACAAGCCAAATTTTTTAAAGGTTGTAATTTAGGTTATCTAATCAAAATTTATAACATCAGATATTTTCAGTATTTAAATTAACATTACGTACTCAAAAATACAGGTCATAAAAATACTCTCACAATTTAAAAAATAACAACCCAAAATAGAAATAACAACTTTAAAAATATATTTTGAAGATGATTCATTTCCACCAATTTAGGCAAGCAGGTGTACAGCTGATTTTAATCATGACAGGCGCATTCTGTAAATCAACTGCACCTGCATAATTAGGTCTTTTTTATAAACATTTTTGATGAGTACTACACTAGAAACAGAAGATTTCCAAGTAAGATAACCACATCCTGAATTAGAGAGAAGTGCTTTTGTGCTAGCTATGCCTACAGTGTAGACCTGGCTACGTGTTGGCTCTTCGTCCACACACAATGCTGTAACAGTGTCCTTCCTTCTCACTTTCAGATTTTATGTGGCCAGTAAAAGAAATATGGAAATATATCATGCATGAATTTGGGCTTAAAGTGACTGAAGTAAGTTGTTACTTTTTTTTTTTTCTTTAGTGATTAAAACAGATATTTAAATGAGTGCTATATACCAGAGATAAATATTAATGAAATTATGTATTTATCCAACAAAGCCTCTTAATCCTTGCTGGACTTATATTCAGAATTTTCTTTGTTGCAAATTTTGTTACATTCATACAACAAGCATTACCACCTTTATTACCTTTTTTTCTGTTTCCTATTTTTTGGCAGTACTGGGGTTTGAACTCAGGGCGCCCTACCACTTGAGCCATGCCCCAACCCACCACCACCTTTCATATTTGCTTTATACTGACAGTTGGTGTGTAAGCCAGCTCATGGGTCATCCTGTGCACCAAACCTGATTCATTTGCCAGCTCTGAGAGTACCAAAAGACTAAACTGCAGGTCCGATGATAAATACAAAGGAGAATTGGGGAAAGTGCTTTGAACAACTGCACCATCATTTTCCATACAAATGTCTAAAACTTCTTATAAAGGTAACTTTGAAGGGGAAAGAATCAAAATTTCTAATTTTTGAAAACACATAGAATAGCCTGACTCTTGTAGATTGAAGGTATATCCTGGGTTTTGTAAAGATGACAGCAAGAGCCTTCTGTAGCTTTACAGTTAATTGTCTGTGTTGTACACATTCACCGAAATATCGTCTCCCCCAAAAACAGCTACACCTGGTTTCCTGCTACTTGCAACCACCTGGTGCACCAGGACCAAGGTGAGTAGAGTTCATTTTAAAGAAGGCACTGGCTCTTCTATCACAGCTGCCTCAGAATCCTTTTCTTTTTTGGAAAAATGATTCCCCAAAGAAGTGGTGTTTAGTTTAAATCCTGACTCAAAGAAAATATCAAAAGACTCTGACTTTGCTAATGTAGTAACATTAGCATTGGGCACCTTCCCTGTCCTCTCTGCAATGCTGCTTGAGCAGAATTACACTGGACCCGGCCAAAAGACTCTTCTCCCTTCTCCTGGATATCAGGATACCTGGGCAGCATTGTCTTACACCACAGCACAAGCTGCCACCTACAGCACCAGTGACACCACCCAGTGAGAGCAAGAAGCAGGGAAAACATGTGCCTTGCAGAGGGGACAAAGGAGCCCATGGGAAAATTAATACATTCTGTCTGCCACACAGGTCAGTCCTGCACTCATGACAGCCAAGATGGATGCCAAGCATGGGAGCACATGCTACACATCAGGCTACTTGAGTAAATATGCTATGTTTGAAAAAGTACTGCAAGCGTGACATTTTGTGCTCAATTTTTTTTAACTGTGCTTTCTACTTTATCACAAAGAGACAGACATTAAGAGGAAAATTTACCAAAAATGAAATTATCTTCCCAGCTATCTTTAGGACAGTCTGTTCTTAGAAACTGTTAATATTATGCAACAGGGGCCAGAGGAGTGGGTCAAGTGGGAAAGCACCTGCCTAGCAAGCACAAAGACCTGAGTTCAAGCCCCAGTACCACCAAAAAAAATAGTCAAATCATGAAACACAGTAATTTAACTTTAAATCTGTTCTGTATTAGTGTTGTCTTTCCCATTCCACCCTTAAGTATGGTCATTCAACTCTAGAAGAAGTAGCTAAGCTATGACTCGCTCCCTCCGTTACCGCTTATGTAAGTGAGAGCTACAAACCATCCACCGGTCATGAGAAAAGGCAAAGGATAAATAGCCATCACTGGGACCGCTCATCTCAACCATCACCGACTGGTCCTCTCTGGTGAAGGACAAGAAGACACAGGCAGGCTCCTTCTCTGGATCACAGTTCACAGGACTCCTAACACAGAACTTCCTGTTCCCACAATCTGAAGCACTGAACTGGAAAAGTGACAGAGGGGGAAAACGTTAATGATCAAGCAGGCACTTCACTGCCAATCTCAGAAGAGCCACCACCTTCAAGTGTGAGTTCTAATGAGAAATCTTGTCACAATAAGGATTCAAGTAAGGGAACTGGATACACATCCCAAATTAGAAAAGACTGGAGCAGCAGGTAGTTTATAGACTCTTAAACTTAATTACTTTTAATTGAAATTTGGAAAATTTATACGAGTTAGCCTGCAGTGGTACAAGAGTGTCATAATTGCTTTAAGATACAAAAGCTTTCACATTCTTTTCTGGAGCAAAGTTTCTGGTAAACGTTGAAAAACTTCTTGGGGCATACGTCTACACCAGCAATTTTGCCTAACAGATATCTTCTAGTTTTCAGAGATGGGATTTTAAAAAGTCCATAAACAAACTCTTGGCAAGTTTGAATATTTAGATCTTGCTTCTAATATTCAGGCTCAAATTTGATGCTAAAGTAATTCAGGAAAAAATGTTACCCTGATCTATAGCTTCAATCTAAATAAGAGTAATAATTCAGCATGGGAAGAATAGGAAAGGATTGATAATAATTAATCCAGAGTTTCTTAGCATGGCACACAAGAAGCGTCTCAAAAAAAAAAAAAAAACCCTACAATTTGGCAGAGTAAACAAACAGGCCTTGTGAGGATGAGCTGTGAGAGCACATTTCAGAGAAAGTGATTATTTAACAAGCTTTAATGAGACACAAAGACTGGTCATAGTAAGGGGACAAAATCCTGCCAGTGGGCAGTGGAAAAGGTGGCCTTGGTTTCTGCTCTCTCCTCTACTCCAGTGCGTTTGTGAAATGCCAAATGAGGGTCCCCCTACCTTCAACTGTACAAGAAGAAACCTGAACAAAACAGAGCCTCAGGTCTCTATTAGCTCTAAAAATGCTACAATCCCATAACCCTGAACGAACCGCCCTGTAATTAGATTACACACCTGGCACAGAGACACAGTAAAAGCTCCAACAAAAGCTAATGCCTTTATCGACTACATAGAAAGACATCAAGATTGTCAACAGATTCCTACTAGGAAGCTGAGGTACAAACTGTTTATTCCCCTAAAGCAGTTTTCAAATAAATAAGCATTAAGACAAAAGTGGGAGCTAGTATAAATTATAGATGTAACCATGTCAAACAAAGGTACAGCATAATAATGTGGTCGATTATAATAGCCATATGTAAATTAAAAATTGTAAAAAGAGAAGGAAAACAAAAATAAGACTATTACATAGGATAAAAGTCTTTGCTTAGTCTTCTCTGTTGAGCAAAGTGATATGTAAGGACAAAGAAAGGGAAAAAAAGGACTGTTTACTAATGACTGTTAAGTTCGAGGCACAGTTAGAAAACTAATACTCGTTATTTTGTTTAATTCTCTTGGCTATGCTAAGAGCTAGATATTCTTGCTTCTCGTCCTTATTAGTGAAGAAACTGAAGATGAAATTTGAGTAATTTCTCCAAAGACCCACAGAAAGCAGACACGTCAGCCATGAGGCCCCAACTCAACTATCACAACCTGCCTTGAGACACTGTCCCTGTATCCACCTCTGAATTAGCCAGTCTAACTGATCAGAATCTCCTTCAGTGAAATGCTTCTGCTAACGATTCTCAGATGCATTACTCTCCCCAACAGTTTTTCAGTCATAATTCTTTAGAGTCAGAGGCCTAAATGGAATTCTAGCTGATGAACTTGCAAGAGATTTTATGCAATTTAGTACATAGAATTCCCCAATATCTTTAACCTTAATGAATTAAGACCTAAGAGTTATACTGCCACTTCAAGAATCTCTCCCAAATCTTGTCTAAACTTAGCTTATGTTCTCTCTTCATGTTTGAATCATATTGACCATGAGGAAAGAAGGAAGAAAGAAAAGGGGACAGAGGGAGGGAAAGAGGAGAAATGATAAAAGGAGAGAAGGAAGAAAGGGAGGGAGGGAGAGAGGGAGGGAAAGAAATGGGAGGTGAGGGAAGCAAGGGAAAGGAAGGAGAGGGGAAGGAAGGAAGGAAAGGAGGGAGAGAGGGAGAAACTTCCTCATTTATTTTCAAGTGAAAATAGATCCGTCACTAGTAGAAGCTATATGTGAATGTTACAGCCATATCTGAATATGCAAGGCCTTGCATTTCCTTTATTCTAACCTGTAAATCATAATGTTCCAATGAAGACTTCCTTCAGATTCCTACAGAGAACCCAAAAACTTGCTACCCAGTACATCTAGTTCTTACAATACACTTTGCCAAATAAAGAACCACAATTTTCAAGAAGGCAATTGTAGATTTTATAAAAAGGTGATTTGGGCTAGGCACCGGTGGCTCACACCTGGAAGGCTAAAATCAGAAGGATCAAGGTTCAAGATCAGTCCAGGCCAAAAGTTCACAAGACCACCATCTCCAAAATAACCAGAGCACAGTGGACTGGAGGTGTGGCTCAAGCGGTAGAGAATCTGTTCTGCTAAGTACAAAGCCCTGAAATCAAATCCCAGTCCCACCAAAAAAAAAAAAAAAGTACTTGGACTAAAGGTGTAGCTCAAATGGTAGAGCACCTGCCTAGCAAGCACAAGGCCCTAAGTTCAAACCCCAGAACTATCAAAAAAAAAAAAAAAAGTTACTTACTGGTTTGGTTAAATGGGAGACTGGAGGTGATGGTGACAAAGGTGCTATTGTAACTGTAGGTGTCGTTAAAGGAAGTGCGTTTGGCTGTGAAATTACATCACTAGGAATCCTCACCCAGTAGATTTTATACTTCTCAACAACTGTGACTCTGAAATGCAGTACCAGTGGGATTAGACAAAACTGACCGTGACCATCATAACCACATCAAAACTTAAAGGAAAAAGGGGGAGATGAATTAGGAACATGCAAGTTACATGAGATAAATCTCTAAAGGGCTCTTCCACCCCATCCTAGGTAAACTTTCCTCACTCTCTCTCCTCTGTCTCTCTTGTTTCTTATTTGTCTGTTCTTTGTGCATATTAGCAGCAAACATGCATGCCAGACTCAAGACTTCTGTGTCCTGACATGCAAGGAAGGCAATACTACTCATTTCATGGTGTACTATCCATCTCTTCCAAAGGCCATGCATAGCAGGCAGATACAGCAGGCAGCTCTGTAGAGGCTGCTAACAAAGTGACATCAGCTCTCACTGGGGTCACTTCTTTTTCACGTTCCACCTGACCCACAGGTGCAAAGCTATGTTACAATGTGCTGGCGGCCTGTGTACAAAGTTAAGCAAAAACCAGACACACATCATTTTCCCTGAAAACATACATCTGGGGCCAGGAGCAGGGATCACACCAATAATCCCAGCTACTGGGGAGGCAGAGATCAAGAGGATCAAAGTTCAAGGTCAGCCCAGGCAAAAAGTTCTCAAGACCCCATCTCAACCAATAGCTGGGCGTGATGGCATATGCCTGTCACCCCATCCACGTGGAAGCCAGAATAGGAGGATAGCAGTTCAGACTGCACCAGGCAAAAACTTGAGACTTATCTCAAAAATAATGAAAGCAAAAAGGGCTGGGGGCGTGGCTCAAGTAGTAGAGCACCTGTCTAGCAACTGCAAAGCCCTGAGTTCAAATTCCAGTACCATACAAAAAAAATATGTATTTAATTTATATATTTGTGTGTGTGTGTGTGTATGTGTAACATCAGCCATCATTATGTGGTTTTGTGACCTTTCACATAGGAACAGGGAAGAAATACATTTTAATCCTGAGAATCATGATTCTGAGAAACATTCAAAGACTTACTTTTCTGACAATCCAATCTGCAAGTTGTAACACTGCAAAACCAAATATGTCATCCAAATTTCAGGACTGTCTTATTTGTATTCTCATAGCAAAACAGGAGCAAATATCTTAAAAGATGTTACTCCCTACACAGCATACTCAAGTATTAACAGGTGGTTCTGGTTAAGGTAATACAATACTTCATTCACTCAACAAGTGTCTATTAAGTGCCTGTTAAGTACCAAGTCACATCAGGCTTGGTGGAGGATGAGGCTTGGAGGATCTCAAGTTCAATGCCAGCCTGGGCCACACAGCAAGTTTGAGGCAAGCCAGGGCTATATAGCAAGACCCTGACTCAAAAAAAAAAGAGAAGACCGAGTCCTGGCTAGGTGCTGGGTACTGGTGGAAAAAACAAACTCTCAGATCACTAAGCTGGTGACATTACTGTCCCAAAACTCTGTGACATGTGTGAATGCAGAGTAGAATAGAAAATACTGCAGACCATATGATTTTGATTTATATTGGTTTGAGAGATATAAACTCTTCTACTCACAGAAACCGTATGTGATCAGGGGCACTGCTTGGAGCATTCCAGTAGCTTTAATTTCTGTTTTTTTGGATGAACTTGTGTGGCTCACTGCCGATCCTGAAATAAAATGGAAAAGAGCTACCGTTCAGTCACCCGGTAAATCAGCATAAATGGAACCGCTATCCTCCTGCAAAGTAATTTGTCATTACTTGTCATGATATCTGGTGAAGACTGTTTTATTTACAAGTACTCAGGTACTCAATAAATTCATGTAGATTGGTTGTCAACATATTAGCAGTTGGAAATTCAGAACTGAATTTCCAGTGAATATTGCCTGTGCTAACACTAGACAAAGCCTGGTCATTGCTTCATTTACCCTATAAATTTATATTCCTTCCATTAATCAAAGCAAATAAAATGAAAAAGATTCCTCAGAAGAAAAAAGGAATCCTTCCTTCCTCCCAAAACAGCATTTTTTAGTAATTCTTTTCCTTTTTTTTTTTTTTTTTTTTGTGTGTTTGAACTCAGGGCCTATACTTTGAGCCACTCCACTAGTCCTTTTTCACAATGGGCTTTTTTGAGATAGGGTCTCATGAACTATTTACCCAGGCTGGCTTCCAACAGCAATCCTCCTGATCTCTGCCTCCCAAATAGCTAGGATTATTGGTGTAAGCCACTGGTGGCCGGCAGTAATTCTTTTATTTTGTTTGTTTGGATTTGGTTTTTGGTTTTTTTTAAGGCACTGGGGTTTGACCTCAGGGCCTCACACTTGCTAGGCAGGCATTCTTACTGCTTGAGCCACTCTGCCAGCCCAATCCTTTTCTTTAGAACAAGTTTATTTCCCACTTTTCACTTGGCAAACTTACATATTCTCAGGCTTGTTTTGTTCTGTTTTGGTTTTTGGCAACACTGGGGTTTGAACTCAGAGCCTAGTGCCTGCTAGGCAGGTGCTCTATCACTTGAGCCATGCCCCAGCACTTTTCTTTTGTTTTGAGACACAGTCTTGCTATGTAACCCGGGCTGGCCTACAATGCACAATCCTCCTGCCTGAGCCTCCCAACTGCTAGAATTATAGACATGCATCACTCTGACAACTGCTACACATTCTTTAAAGGCCAGCTTAATGATCACATCCTCCAGGAATCTTTTTTCCAATTCCTCCAGCCTGTCTGTGGCTCCCTCTTCTGTATGTCCCACTCTCCTGTGTATGCTCTAACCTAAGTTGTCATACTGTTCTACTTATGTACCTGTCCCATGTGTACATGGTTCTACTTCTTTTTTTTTTTTCATTTTTCTTTTATTATTCATATGTGCATACAAGGCTTGGTTCATTTCTCCCCCTGCCCCCACCCCCTCCCTTACCACCCACTCCGCCCCTCCCTCTCCCTCCCCTCAATACCCAGCAGAAACTATTTTGCCCTTATTTCTAATTTTGTTATAGAGAGAGTATAAGCAATAATAGGAAGGAACAAGGGTTTTTGCTGGTTGAGATAAGGATAGCTATACAGGGCATTGACTCACATTGATTTCCTGTGCGTGGGTGTTACCTTCTAGGTTAATTCTTTTTGATCTAACCTTTTCTCTAGTACCTGTTCCCCTTTTCCTATTGGCCTCAGTTGCTTTAAGGTATCTGCTTTAGTTTCTCTGCGTTAAGGACAACAAATGCTAGCTAGTTTTTTAGGTGTCTTACCTATCCTCACCCCTTCCTTTGTGTGCTCTCGCTTTTATCATGTGCTCATAGTCCAATCCCCTTGTTGTGTTTGCCCTTGATCTAATGTCCACATATGAGGGAGAACATACGATTTTTGGTCTTTTGGGCCAGGCTAACCTCACTCAGAATGATGTTCTCCAATTCCATCCATTTACCAGTGAATGATAACATTTCGTTCTTCTTCATGGCTGCATAGAATTCCATTGTGTACAGATACCACATTTTCTTAATCCATTCGTCAGTGCTGGGCATCTTGGCTGTTTCCATAACTTGGCTATTGTGAATAGTGCTGCAATAAACATGGATGTGCAGGTGCCTCGGAGTAACAGTCTTTTGGGTATATCCCAAGAGTGGTATTGCTAGATCAAATGGTAGATCGATGTCCAGCTTTTTAAGTAGCCTCCAAATTTTTGGTCTTTTGGGCCAGGCTAACCTCACTCAGAATGATGTTCTACATGGTTCTACTTCTAAGTTATATGTCCTGTGTCCATCTGTTTGACTTATGTTCTTCAAGGAGAGAGAGTAAGTCTTGTTCATTTCCATATCCCTTGTACCCAAGGCAATTCCTAGTACAATAAATGTTTAAGCCAGGTGCTAGTGGCTCATGGCTGTAATCCCAGCTACTTAGGAGGCAGAGATCAGGAGGATCATGATTCAAAGCCAGCCTGGGCAAATAGTTCGTGAGACCCTATCTCAAAAAAACCCATCACAAAAATAGGACTGGTGGAGTGGCTCAAGGTATAGGCCCTGAGTTCAAGCCCTAGTACCGCAAAAAAAAAAGTTTATGAAATGAATGAATACAAAAATTAGACCTCTGTCCCATTCTAGAGCTCTATCTTCACTGGAGTCATGTCTCAAGTAGTAGAACTCCTGCCTAGCAAATGCAAAACTGAGTTCAAACCATAGTACCACCAAATATATACCTTCAATGCTGAAACCCTTAAAAAATCAACACAGTAAGAGTCAATCTGACATAAAACATCACAAACCATAAACTCTTCAAGTTATTGCCCTACCTTTCCTGAGATGCTGATGTATAAGCACAAATGACAAGTAAATTAGGGGAAAGTTTGGTCCTGTAAATCAATTCAAATGCCTGCAACACAAGGTAATGTCATCATTTATCCTATAATCACCACCCCATAAAAAACAGACCTCAGAAAACTGACAATAACCATTTTTAAACTAAACACAAACCTGTACGTCTTCACAAGTCAGAAGCTGTGACACTTGGCTGTCAATCAGTGTGAAGGAGCCAATAGGAAGGCCACTCAGATCCTCAGCATCATGAGCTTCTAAGAGAAAACCCTTAAACGGTGGTCCTGACAAAGTAACTGAGAAATGATAAAACAGGTTAAAAGACTTAGCAGACCTAAAACAGAATGTTCCAAGGGGGAGTTACCACAGAATCAAGCACATGTATACAAAACTACTGCAGAGAAAAGAGTAAAAGTCATCCTGAAGATAGAGAGTGTCTACACCGTGTTCTGCAGCACCTGTTAACAGCCATTCCATCACACAGGTGATGGCCCAGGGCAGTTCAACAGAGCAAAATTCATTTGAAAAGGCTAGATGAAAGTAAATACACGCTTCCTTACTGTAATCCCATGGGGTCTTTAATATTCTACTGTATGTAATGTGAAATTCTAAAGATAGATTGATTGATAGAAAATAAATATAGATAATTGATTGATTGATTGATTGATTGATTGATAGATGACAGATAGATAACATACATGTATTCAAACCTGTTTCTTTTTTTTCTTTTCTTTCTTTCTATTTTTTTTTCTTGAGGTTCTGGGGATTCAACTCAGGTGGATCCAACTCTGGTGCACGCTAGGCAAACACTCAACCACTGAGCTACATCCCAAGCCCCAAACTTATCTCTTCATACAACCTTTCTGTTAAAGGTACCTATTAATATTTTGCATTTCTAGACTTGCAAAAACTAGAGTTTATTAAATGTTGTTATAGGTACACTTTTAACAGTCAGCCTACAATTTGCCAGAATACTTAAGGAAACACAAGAGACTATATTATTTGTTTTAAATAGAAGTAAAATACATAAGCTATGACTAAAAAAAATTTTTTAAAAACCTGTTCTGAGTAGAGAGTAGATATACCACTTATATAACATATGTAAACAAAAAATGACAAGTATAAGATATCTTACAAAACAAGTGAATAGATTTGAATGAAATCAACTAAATCCTATTAATAAAGACTCAATGCATAGTAAAAGAGTGGAACTCAAGATGAGAGTAGTTACTGCCAGCACAGTACCTTCTATCCGATCTCCTGGTCGGAATTTCCTCTGGCTCACTGCAATGTGGTGGATGGGCTCAGACTGGGGGCTGTGGCCATGAAGGGGAACCATTCCACGGCACGACTTTGTGACTTTTCCATTGGGGTAATTAACCACAGAACTAACGAGCAACACAAACACGAAGGTACCAAGGGTAAATCCAGGAGCTGCCATCTCAAAAGAAAGTTAAAAGGACATCATTTTCAGACATGATTAAAATAAAATACAAAAGCTTTTGTAATACAACAAAGGAATTCTACAGAACTACTTGCTTTCAACCTTCAGCTATCCATATTCTCGAAGTGCATGACAAAAAAAAAAAAAATGTGCCCTGCAAAGTGTATACCTGGGTTTGAATCTCACTGTCCAATATCAACTGGGGGTGGGGGAAGAGGCTAGAAAAGTGCCTCAAGTTGTAGAGCCCCTGCCTAGCAAGTGTGAGGCCCTGAGTTCAAATCCCAGTACTACCAAAATACATCTGTGTGTGTGTGTGTGTGTGTGTGTGTGTGTGTATCAACTGGGAGCTTTTGGGGAAATCACTCAAGTCTCTGCTTCCCTTCCAGAAAAGTGAGGAAACTAAGACCCTCCTTTCAATGTTGTTTCAATACAATGACGATACAGCTCATAGTCTGACAAAGATAACAAATGATAGCTTTCTTGAGTGTGCTGGAGAATTAATTATCGGGTCCAATAAAAGCAAAAGGTTTTACCCCACTTCATCTTAGAAAGCTTAAAGGAGTATCTATGCCAATATAAATATCATCGTCTAAATAAATCTTTGGTATAACTTCTCCCCAATTCCCATTAAATAGCTGTAGCAATGGGCAGGTAATTTAGCTAAGAAAAGGAAGAACAATTAACACACTAATAAAGGAGAGAAAAATGAAATCACATAAAATCCTCAACTAAATTCACAAAAGGCAGAAAAAGAGCAGAAGATAAAAACAGAAACAAAGAAGGAGGTTCACAAATAGAAAATTCTAACATGAAAGGTATCAATAATCACTTTGAACCTCAACAGTCTAAATGCACCAATTAAAAGACAGGGGTTGTCTACAAAGAATTCATTTTAACAATAAAGACACACGTAGATTAAAAGTAAGTGGATAGGAGGGCTGACAGTGTGGCCAAGTGGTACAGTACCAACCTAGCAAGTAGAAGGCCCTGTGTTCAAACCCCAACACAGCCAAAAAAAAAAAAAAAAAGGAAAAGGATGGAGAAAGATATGCCATACTAACACTAATCAAAAAACAGCAGGAGCCAGGTTTGGTGGCACAGGTTGTAATTCCAGGACTCAGGAGGCTGAGGCAGGAGGATCAAAGGAGGGCTGGCTTTGAACCGTGATCCTCCTGATCTTCTGCCTCCCAAGTAGCCAGGATTACAGGCATAGCCTCCAGTGCCCTGTAGAAAATCCATGTACTTAGATGAAAATATAATTATTATTGTGATCTTGGGGCACAGAGGCAAGTGCTATTAATCAGGATGTATTTATTACAACAAAATAAAATTCAAATAAAATGGTAAAATAAGAAAGATCCAATTGAGAAATACTTAGATGTAAGAAAGTCATTAGACTAAAGCTGTTTTTATCTTTTTCATCAATTGGTCACTAAATGTCTTTTTATTATTTAACTCCAAAAACATTAAGAGTAAGAAAAAATGGGGGGGGAAACATTTGAACGTCAGGGCTGAGGGTGTAGATCTGTGGTATAGCCCTTTCCTAGCATGTGCAAGGCCCTGGGTTCAAGCCCCAACACCTTAAAAAAAATAGATCTGATGATTAAGCCAGCAAATGACTAATGTAGTATGGTTATATTGCATTCAAGTTCTACCTCTTATTGTTAATTTACTTTAAATTAAGGCATCAAAGGAGTTCAAAAGTTAACGTGAACACAAAAAAACTGCGGGAACTCAGCCCAGTAACACACACTCCACATCCCCAAGACATGAGGGTAGGCATGCTTGGGCAGACTAACTGATGAGTGGATGTGAGGTAAGGTGAGGTAAGAAGGATTTCTTAGTAATGAAGAAACAGCTGCAAAAAAGCAAGCCAACCAAAACACTTCACTATAAAGGAAACAAATAGTTTAGGAAAGATTTTTAGGTTTGTTGGTTTGGTTTGGTTCGGTTTTAGATTTTGCTATATATATTGGGATTTTGTTTTTGGGTTTGTTTGTTTGTTTGTTTGTTTTTCTAGTCACAGTCAAAGTGAGACACAGTCCTACACTGTGACCCAACAAACACCGCAAAGGATTTTCCTTTACCTCATTATAAACTCACATATTCTCTACTCCTTCCCTTTTTAATGCTTCTTGCATCCTACGAAGTGGTCATTTCACAATTTAACCAATGGATTTTAACATGCAGTTTGAAAAACATTATTTTACAGCATACACAGGCCTTTAGGTTTTACCCTTGAATCAAATTCCAAATTAGAAGTATCAAGGATTCCAGTAAAAAAAAAGGAAAGTTTTCAGAACTAAAAAAGAAGCAAACAGTCTATGCAACAAGGAGGGTTTTTGAGGTAGAAGACAGATGGATATGATGGAGAATACCTTCTTCTCTCCTCACTCCACTTTGAGGCTGATCAAAAACTATAAATACACTCATACATAATAAATCAGCATTCCCACAGTGATCTTCTTGCCAGAGAGTTCTTTTTAAACGAACCGTAATATAAAACCAGTACTACCAGCCAGGTGCCGGTGGTTCACACCTGTAATTCTGGCTACCTCTGGAAACTGAGATTGGGAGGATCACAGTTTAAGGCCAGGCCAGGCAAATAGTTCTCAAGACCCCATCTCCAAAACAACCAGAGCAAAATCGACGGGAAGTATGGCTCAAGGGGTAGAGCACAGCCCTGAGTTCAAACCCCAGTTCCAAAAAAAAAAAAAAACCTATTTTTAAAGCATTTGAAAGTTCTTTTCAAAATTTTCATCAAGCCAGTCACTGTGGCTCGCACCTATAATCCTAGCTACTTGGGAGGCTGAGATCGGGAGGATCACAGTTGGAGTCCAGCCTGGGCAAATAGTTCACAAAACCCCATTTCCAGAGTAACCAGAAGAAAATGGACTTGGAGATGTGGCTCAAGCTGGTAGAGCACCTGCTTTGCAAGTGCAAAGCCCTGAATTCAAACCCCACTACTGCCCAAAAAAAAAAAAAAAAAAAAATCCCATCAGCCACCTTCCACATTCTAGATTAAATAGCTACTACTTACTGAATGCTATTTCCATTTTATCTTAGTGCATGATTACAATGGCATTTTTTCTTTTCATTTCAGCACAAGTACAAAATATTGCCATTAATTTTTGAGTTAAATATGCTTATGTATGGCCTAAAGCCAGAGCCACCATTTACAATGTGGCTTCTATTGGAAAATGGAATTTTAATTCCAAGCCGAATTAGAAACTCATTTGGGGACACAGCACATCTGTAAGCTCGACATTTCTCCTAAGATCCCAGGCAAGCCTTGTAGGCTTTGCACTGTGACTAAAAACCTAGAGGGGCTAGGGACAGAAGGAAATAGGTGTTCACCTGCTGACTGGCAGAATTAGGCAGAAAGAGTTTTAGAAAAATAGACCTGCAGAAGGATTGATAGTCAGAAAAACAGACAAGATATGTATGTAAAGCAAAAAAAATTTATGACAACAAGAAAGACCCAGTTTTATCGTAAGAAGAAGGGAAGGTACACAGAGAAGAGAAAGAGGAAAAGCAACAAACATTTGGTGAGAGCCTGGCTGTGTTAGGTGACACATCTGATGTGATCCTAGCCAGCAGGATCACAAACTAGAACTGAGCAAGCAAGGACTAGGGATTGTAGTGAGCCTTTCATCATGATTACCTTCAGGATTAGGACCTAAATCTTACTGCAACTCGGTGTTATTTTTCTCTCCTCAGCATTGCTCCCCATTGGGAGAGAGAATGTGGAAAGCAAACAGGTCCAGCAAGAATCCAAATTTCACAATGAACAGTGGGAGTGGGTCAACATTTCAACATTTGTCACACAAATTTAGAATGCTGCATCCACGTTATGAGAGGCTGAGTGACAATGCAGAGATTTCTTTCACAGACCTAATGCTCCAGAAAGCATGGATATAAAAGTAATCAGCTCAAGGCCTGAAAACAAGACTGTCAATAAACGCTGGCTGTCATGTTTAGTACCGTTATGAACTCCCTACACTACCTGCTAAGTTCTTCTGCACACTACTGTGGTTAGGCAACAGATTTCACCTGCCTCTTGCATCTATGTTTAAATTGTTCCAACCTTCTAAGACACTTCAGAAAATTCACACCTTTCTTTCTAGTAACTTAATTTCACCTCCACAGGAAACTTCTACATCAAGAATTAAATGGACTTTGATAGCTGACTCTCAAATTATAGGGAGATTGAAAAATAGGTCAACTATCTCCATTTGTCCAGAGACTCCATTTTCACAGGAGGAAACACAGAGGGAAAAAAAATGATTTTTTTAAAATTAACAATTGGAGTTAGGACATTTTCAGAGAAGTTTCTGAAAAACAAAGAGAATTTTAAAAAGGCACACTGAATAACAATTTGAGATGTGTCAGATCGAACAATTTAAGATGGCTAAAAAGACTTCTGAATTAGAGCTTGAGCAAAAGCAAGAAAAAGTAACAGAAAAGTGGAGACCATGGGTGGTGAGGGGTCAGTTAGAAACTCTATAATCTACATGATGGAAGAGCATTTTATATGTATGAAAACAACTAAAAACTGCTATGGGTGAGCTTGATTAAAGTATATTACATGCCTGTATGAAATATCACAATGAAAACCCCTTTGTGCAACTTAATTTATGCTAATAATTGAAGAAGAAGAAGAAACTCCAAGTCAGGTGCTGGCAGCTCACACCTATAATCCCACCCTGCTGGAAGGCAGCAATCAGGAGAATCAAGGTTCAAAGCCAGCGAAGGCAAATAGTTCTTGAGACCCTATCTCAAAAAAACCCATCACAATAAAAGGGCTGTCAGAGTGGCTCAAGTGGTGCTGCCTAGAAGGAGTAAGGTTCTGAGTTCAAAACCCCAGTGCCACCAACAAATTAATTAATTAATTAACCAGAGCAAAATGAACTGGAGATGTGGCTTCAGCAGTAGAGCACCTGCCTAATCAGCAAATGCAAAGCCCTGAGTTCAAACCCCAGTCCCACCACAAAAAA